CGAAATCCAGCTTAAATCCGAGATCCGGCTTAAAAACATTTTTATTTCTGCCATATATAACCTAACATTATTCAATTTTGAATATGAAAATTATAATTTTTACCATTAAAATTTTTTTAAATTTACAAATTTTTACCATTATAATTAAAATTTACCATTATAATTTTTGTAATTTAAACTCACAATGAATTATGGTGTGTTTTGTTTTAATTAGTTATTTGAATTGACGTATGTACATCAGGTGCTACATTTTGATGTACGGTTCATATTTTAACATTTCACAAAATTTCGGTTCCGGCCCACTTTGGATCATGGCCGAAGGTTCGGATTCGGTTTCAGCCGAAACAAAAAATTTTGCTTCGGTCGAACGCTAGAATTTATTAACAAAATCAAAAATTAAAAATCGAAAAAATGCGTCACGATTTCAACATTCAACGTTTACGATCTCTTCAATAGCCACCGTAGGTATGATGGTAGCAAAAACTGCCAATCGATAACGACGAATATATTACAAAAATAAATTTAAACAATGATAATAAATTTTATCTTATAATATTTTGTAAAAATCGATCGACGCTCAAATTTTCGTTTCAGCTTTTATTCGTTTAGTTTCCGTTTTAATTTTTTCATTTCCATTCTGTTTGTTTTTTGAAAAATCTTCGTTTATAAATTCGTTTCGTTTTTTAACACAAATTTTTTCCATTTTGTCTGTTTTAGATTTCGTTTCCAAAATCCACACTAGAAAAAGTCTAACACGAACTAGATTCTACATTACCTTTATTTTCAACCATGATTGATTCTAGCATCTTACAACTTTCCCCATTTTTCATTAGCCATCTAATGTGGAAAAAAAATAAAAGTAGCCAACTTTTACACAGTGCAATTCAAAATTAATGCAAATTTTGAAGTTGACAAACTTTTTTAACTGATCTCTTTGACCTTGCAATCGTTTTAATTCAGGTTTAAGAGAATTCATTGCAGATATCAAGTTTCTGTTGGTAGTTACTTGATCTTTTATTTCTTCCTCGAGACTGATCATGTTTGACGATACCAGAGACTTGTGACTCCTCATTAACTCCATGTTGTTTCGTATTCTTTTCAGCAACACCAGTATTACAAATTATGCTATTAAGTTCTACATATTATCATTTTTATATCAAACCAGATTAAATAAAAAAACTTATTTAACCGTTGTTGGTCCTGTATGTGAGCATCTTCGAATAATTCACTTTGCAATTTCACCTGTTCATTAAACATCGCCAGCGTTTCTTTAAAAGCGTCCAAAGCAGAATGCTTCAACTGTAAGTCCTTATTTATAAATTTTGAACTTGTTAAATAATAGGTGAATCATAAGTTCTCAATAATTTTGTTAATTAAGAACATCGTAGAGATGAAAGAAAGTTCATTGGTCCACAATCATAAGAAGCCACGTAATAAAATAACAAACGAAAATAAATAATGTTATGTCATTATAAAAAATTAAAATTTGGAGTTTTTTGAAAATTTATTTTAAAATTCAAGCCTACGAAGCAATCTTGTTACTATTAAAAAAAAATATATTCGAAAAAGTACAGAGGATAAAAATTGGAACCATAACAGCATCTCTACGATTTAATAACAAATATTTATTCGTCCCTACTAACATGTAAGATAACTTCATGCTGCTTGTACATGACCTCATAATCGTGCAACTTTTTTGTACATTCATTATGAACCTCTAGCAGCCTTGATAACATCGATTCTAGGTCGGACGCAGTCAATTCATCATCCTGTATGTGTGTGTGTGTATATATATGTGTGTATATATATATATATATATATATATATATAACATACATATAAATACAATTTTCATATTTTCATTAATTACTATCGCTATAGTATTATATATTATTTATTAACGTCCTGGGTATGACATAAAACTGCATCCACGCTGTCTTGCGTGCTTTTGAGCGAAAGGCTAGGCCCACCGCTTATAACTGGTGGTTGTTGTCAGGATGGGTGTCCGGATGTAAAAACTTTTCCCCAAATTATTCCTATGCCATCACAAAGAAAAACAACGGCCCCTAGTCCCCAGCAGGCCTTAAGTGGTCAAGGGGTGCCAAGAATCCTTGGGAAGTATGCAATAGCGGAGGGATGTTGCAGAAAAATTCAGAATGGCCCCTCTATGGTACTTAGACTTGGAACGCTCAACGTTGGATCACTGACTGGCCGCAGCATGGAAATCGCAGAAATGCTCGAGCGTAGAAGGATTAACATCTGCTGCCTTCAGGAAACCCGATGGAAATCGAATGATGTCTGTCATGTCAACTCAGACAAAGAAAAATATAAACTATTCTGGAATGGTCAAAAAACGGCCAAAAATGGTGTTGGAATTTTTGTCAGAGAACTGCTAGCCCAAGAAGTACTGGATATTAAAAGGATTAATTCACGTCTCATGTGGATCAAGCTTCGCAAAGAAAAGCAAACAATGATAATTTTTTTTGCATACGCACCACAGACAGGCGAATCAGAAGAGATGAAAAATGACTTCTGAACTGCATTCTCTGACACCATCTCAACAATACCGAAATCTGAAACAATCCTGATTGGAGAAATCCACGTTGGAGAAAAAACAGATGGTTTTTGACAACGTACATGGCGGTTTTGGCTATGGAAAACGGAATGAAGATGGCAACCGCATCCTTGAGTTTGCTGAAAGTCACGGGTTTTGTTTATTGAGCACATATTTTAGAAAGAGGTTGGAACATCTCGTAACATACAAAAGTGGACCATCAGCTACGCAAATTGATTTCTTCGCTGATAAGCAACCACACCGAAGGCTGTTCAAAAACGTCAAAGTTATACCTGGCGAATCATGCGTCGCCCAACATAGACTCCTTGTGGCAGACCTGGTTGTCGAACTGTCAAAACATAAGTCTAAACAAATGCCTCAGAGAATCAAAACGTGGAAGCTGAAAAGCAATATCCATCAAGAAAAATTTCAACAGATTGTCGCCACACAGTTAGACCACCAATCGCAAGCCAGTACAGATTGGAGTACATACAAAACCGTTTTAATGAACGCTGCAACTACAGTTTGTGGGAAAACTGGTACAAAACGTCAGCATGAACGTGACACATGGTGGTGGAATGACAGTGTACAAAATGCAATAGCTGAAAAGAAATTTGCATACAAGCAATAGCGAAAAACAAAGTCTGTTGATGACCATAAAATTTTCCGTGAGAAGAACAACTATGCAAAACGTCAAGTTGCACTGGCTCGGACAGATCAGTGCAGAGAGTGGCTCACTAAAAGCAAAGGTGAACAAATGAAATCTCTGTATTGTATAGCAAAACAAGCAAAGCGTACGAAAAAAGACATAGTTGGTGCCTCATGTATCAAAAACGACAAAAATGAGATGGTTCTTGAACAAGATGAGATCAAGCTACAGTGGAGAGAATACTTCAATCGCCTGTTAAACGAAACAAATCCCATCAATGTTAACTTTGACGCTCCACCCATCGAAGGTCCGATTTCAGACATCAATTTAGAGGAGCTTACAGAAGCTCTGAAAGCTTTGAAGGATGGAAAAGCAGCAGGGCCCTCTGGACTCACAAATGACATTATCAAAGCATCTGGTACTGCAGGTATCCAAACGTTACTACAACTTTGCCGTGAAATCTGGAGAAATTGCTCAAAGCCGACTGAATAGAACTATAGCATGACAGTCCCGCTATACAAAGGCAAAGGTGATCCATTGAACTGTTCATCATATCGGGGTATACGTCTGTTAGAACACTCACTGAAACTTGTCGAGAAAATCATTGAGTGAAGATTAACGTCGTGCATCACAATCGTAAATTATCAATTTGGTTTTCTAGCGGGGAAATCAACAATTGATGCAATTCACATCCTTCGGCAACTGCAAGAGAAGTACCTCGCAAAGCATCAACAACTATCACACATTTTTGTAGACCTTGAAAAAGTATTTGATCGAGTTCCCCGTGAAGCAATCAGATGGAGTCTACGTCGACAATTCATTCCAGAATATCTTGTTCGACTTGTGATGGAAATGTATACGAATACTAAGACTTTTGTCAGCACAACCGTTGGAAACACAGATGCATTTGACATCGGCGTTGGAGTTCACCAAGGCTCGATTCTCAGTACACTGTTATTTATAACTGTGATGGAAGAAATCACAAAACCGATACGCACTGGTGACATTTAGAATCTAAAATATGCAGATGATATCGTTTTAACAGCCACGTTTGAGCAGAACGCAGCACAGATGTTTGAAGCTTGGAACATTAGACTCGCCGATCATGGATTCAAAGTCAACATCAGCAAAACCAAAGCAATGAACACTGGTGAACACATCCAATCCACAGCTACTGGACGATGGCCCTGTTCAGTTTGTAAAGCTGGTGTAGGTAACAATTCAATCAAGTGTCAGCAATGTAACCAGTGGTGTCACAAAAGTTGTTCAAAAATAATTGGTACTTTATCTAAAGTGTCCAATTTTGTTTGTCCTGCTTGCATCAATCCACAACAACAAATTCGAAATAGCACTGTTTTTTGAATCCATTAAGGTAGAGAAAGTCACATCTTTTCAATACCTAGGGGATGTTCTGGATTGTACTGGAACAGCTGAAGCTGCCGTTCGAGCACGCATACGTGCAGCCTGTAATACATGGCATCTCCTTGCCTCTATATTGATGCGGCGTGACATCCCACTTCATCTACGACCAAGACTTTATAAATCTGTGATACGTCCGGTGTTGTTATATGGTGCAGAAACATGGCCAATGACAATCAAACTGGAACAACAACTTCAACAAACCGACATGAAAATGCTCCGATATAATGCATCGAATTAGTCTGAAGGACCACATCAAATCTACCGAAATCCTGCGTCGTGCTGGTTTAGATGATATAAAGGACGAATGCCGGCAACACCGTCTGCAGTAGTTTGGTCATGTCAAACAAAGTGGAAACGGTGCCATAACTTCTCTTGCAGATGTTGTAGTACCTGACACACGTCCCAAAAGCCGTCCAAAGAAGTCCTGGTCGCAAACAATCGAGCTAGACATGAAAGTTCTAAATTTAGATACAACTGATCGTCTAATTTGGCGTAAAAAGTTGATGGCAAAGAAAACAACGTCCTACCTCGGGAAACTGGGTCTCTGGACGCTAAACGAAGATTGATTATATTGCTCAAATAATATAGTAAGGGGCCCAAATAAATAAACATAAAACCAATGGTATGTATGATTATTCACCTTTTACACTGTATCGTATATATTTTCATAAACCATTTCCTACTGTACATAACTAACCAAATTTTCATGTCAATAGGGTGAAACATGAAAGTGTAATTTATAAAAGTCATACTCTCACACACACGCACGCATACACATTTTTTGACAATCGTTATTATTAATAAAATATTCCAACGTTAATTAGTGGCGAACACCAGAAATATAATTTTGTGGAAATTCGTTGCTCTGAGAAATCGTATTGAAAGTAGTAGGTACTTGTAATTAAACTTTGACTTTTCATTGTGGAGGAAAAAAAACAATA